TTCTGGTACAGGCCGTTTTCCCAACCGAGTACAGAGTTCATGAGCGAAATTCCCTTTCCTTATCCTTACACTACTGCATTGATGGTCGCGTGCTGGACGGCGCGCTCATAATTGCCTTGTACACCCTACTAAGGCTCTTCTATTCTTTAAAGACCATCACCAGACATGGCATCTTCGTGATCCATGCCTTGCAAGCTGGTAGAAGTGCTGAGACACATATCTGCTGCTCAAATGATATCGCAACAGGTGTCCTCTCTGTGCTGCATGATCTCCATTAGTTGCTGGCTGCATCTTTCCTTCGGCCTTGCAGTTGCATGCAACAGGAGTTGCCGAACTAAGACCTCCTATCCTTTGCCAGGCCTCCTGAAATACTTGGTCAGCCGAAGCTCTCTGGTCAGCGATGTAGTCAATCTACTACAGAGTACTCAGACGTGATTGGCCCCCAACACCCTCGCTCGGTTGATTAATTAGGACAATGTTGTTTCGACTGTCTCGCTTTGAAGGACTCTTTCGCTACGGAGGTGTGGTGCACAAGTCTTTGCGAATTCACTACCTAGAGCCAATTAGCATTAGCAGGTCACGTGGCTTCAAAGTTTCTTCTTGGAGCACACTTCCCTACTTGCAGACAGGCATTCAGCTGGAATAATTTACTCCAGCGCATTTGAACCTATAGACCTCTCCATGTGCTCAAAGTCTAGCTAAGCGAGAATGTGTACACAGTTCGACACCGAGGCATGGCTCTCCATCAATTCGCAACAGCGGGTTGTCGTTCAGGTCCATGTTCAACCGCATCGGAGCTAACTGTTTCGGGTAATGGCGCGGATCCCCGCGAAGATATCCCGAGCCCATGTCTTTGGGGTCTGACCCGACGTACGCGATGAGAACCAAATTTTCCAGGCCAAAACATGGTGCGTCGACGACGTTACGCTCACAAATTCAAGCATAGCGCTTGATACATACAGACCTCGCCATGACTATGATACAGTCCGCTTCGACATGTCTCGCTCGTCCCCGGATCCCTCTGCCGCTCTGTCGTCTTCGCCCAGCAGCTCCCTGAAACGCCAGTCTCAGTTTACTTACCGCCAACTACAGCTTCTTCGTCAGGGCTCGACGGCGACTCCACTGAGGGTAATTGCTCATATTGACCTAGATGCCTTTTATGCACAATGTGAAATGGTACGGCTGGGAACGCCGCAGGAGACGCCTCTCGCTGTACGGCAATGGGATTCGCTCATCGCGATCAATTATCCCGCTCGATCCTTCGGGATAAGCCGAATGATGTCAGCCAGCGAAGCGCAGAAGCATTGTCCCGAGATCGTTCTGCAGCACGTTGCCACGTTTCGCGAGGGAGAAGGCGGGAAATGGGCTTACAGGGAAGACGCGTTTAAGAATATCAGTACAGATAAAGTATCCCTGGATCCGTATCGTGCAGAATCCCGAAAGATCCTGAAAGCGATGAAGGAAGAGCTTTCAAGGTGGCACACGGATCTCGTGGACAGCGAACATGGAATCGGCTCGCACTATCAAGTCCAACCTGCTAGCCTCGAAAAGGCCGGTATTGATGAAGTATTTATCGACTTGTCGCCGCTCGTATACGCTATATTGCTTCAGCGGTACCCGGAACTGCGTATCGCACCGCAGGGTGACGAACGCATTACTCGGTTGCCTCGCCCTCGGACGACGGCGTTGGAATGGAGTACCGAAGACTGCTTGATAGAGCTTGATGAGAATGAGACGGAGGTTGATGATCCTGACTGGGATGATATTGCCATGCTCATAGGCTCAGAGATTGTTCGGTCAGTCCGAACAGCTGTCTGGGACAAGCTCAGCTATACCTGTTCCGGGGGTGTCGCCAGAAACAAGATGATGGCCAAGTTGGGAAGCGCTTGTAACAAGCCAAACAAGCAGACAATCGTCCGAAACCGCGCGATTCAGAATTTTCTGGGTGGCTACAAGTTTACCAAGATCAGAATGCTTGGAGGCAAACTCGGAGACCAGGTGGCTACTCTCTTCGGTACAGAGCAAGTGAGCGATCTGCTACAGGTGCCGCTCGAGCAATTTCGTGCTAAGCTTGATGACGACACTGCCAGCTGGCTCTACGGAATTATTCGTGGTGAGGATAGGAGTGAGGTGAATCCAAGGACTCAAATCAAATCCATGTTATCCGCAAAGTCATTTAGACCAAGCATCAATTCTGCAGACCAAGCCGAAAAGTGGCTGCGGATCTTCGCGGCCGATATCTACGGTCGCCTTGTTGAGGACGGCGTGCTTGAAAACAGACGCCGTCCGAGAACCGTCGCTTTGCATCATAGACAAGGTGGTCAAGTACGCTCTCGCCAACTTCCCATTCCGGGTTCGGCAACAATCGACGAGAGTCTTCTGTTCGAACTTGGTAGAACATTGCTCCGGCAGGTCATAGGCGATGGACGTGCATGGCCGTGTGCCAACCTCTCCTTGAGCGTCGGCGGCTTTGAAGATGGAGTCAACAAGAATCAGGCGATAGATAGCTTTTTACTTCGCGGTGACTCGGCGAAAAGTGCCGCTCAGGTCACGAGAAATTCGGACTCAACGGGACGCACAGGATCAGATCACCATGTCGAAAAACGAAGAAAGATTGACAGCAGCGGGATCAGGCGCTTCTTAAATTCTCCCTCTGAGTTTGCCTCTGAAGCTATCTCCTTAGACTCAGATTCAGCTCACTTTGGTGAGAAAAATGAAGATGACGGGACAAGTGCACTTCAAGGCGAGTCATCCTTGCCAGATGCTCAAGCGATAGGGACTCCATCCGCTTCATATACCTGCAATCGGTGCCAGAAATCGCTCCCAATCGATGAACAGACCGAGCATGAAGATTGGCATTTCGCCAAAGATCTCGAACTTGAAGAAAGACAGGCACCTAGAAAGAGTCAGCGGATGTCGCGTCCGAATCATTCGGATACGCTTCAAGCTCGCGGAAGGGGTGGTCGCGGTTCTCGCGGAAAACCAGAGAAAGGACAGACCCGACTCAGATTTGGATGATGGCTCAATTAGCCCTGGCTTCAACATCCGACAGTCTCCGGTCTGCTAGGTAGCGGCCCGACGGCGAATGGTGTGAGCTATTTGACTAAACCTATGAAGGTTCAAGTGTTACTGATGTCAATTCCAAACTTTTAAGCTTGATTGATGGTGCATGGTCATTTCCTGGATAAAACATCCGTGACCTATGGATTGCGTTGATGTTATTGTGGACCTTTCCAGATTATGAGATGTGATTGCCTCAGAGCTTTTAGGGGACTAGTGGTCTGTCTAGTGTAACCTCGTGTGTAGCAGCATCATTGCCGTCAATAACCTTCGTAGGGAGCTTAACATTGTAGGCCAGGAACGCATTACCCACGCTTAATTGGCTGTTTGTGGCTCCGCAGACTTAGTCTGAAAGCTGCAGCTTGCACCTGGCTCTGCATGGAGGCGATAACACCAACTGCATCTCCGTCTTGAAATGAGTCTATCCAATGTCATCATATAGACTTTTTGCTCGGCACCACTATATCAAGTAAGATGTTTCCGAGAGGACTGAGGCGTAGCGAGAGAGCGCTAGTCTGCGGTAGATTATTTTCCTAAGGAATTGCAGACAGTATGTCGCTCTTTAATGAATGCCATTGCTAAACGGGATACGGCAGTATTTATCTCAAGATCATCAATTCGGTCTTAGTCGAAATAGCGTTGACCCAATGTCAACGAACCGCGGTTCAAGGAACCATGCAGACAGAAGTGTGAACCTATTTTCGATCCTGCTCAAGTTCAAAGCCTAATTCCATACTTAGTCTCATACTTAGATTCTTGATTGTATACTTCAACTCATGTCAATATTTGAATTAAATAACAATTTAATTCCCTATATCGCTAACATGGACAAGAAAATTACTGCTGGATGAAAGAACAGATTGAATGCTACTATTCTTTTTAGGGTCTTTTGCTGCTCTGCTTCGCGTGCCTTAGGTCAGGCAGTGTAGTCATAGTTCATGAGGCCAAAAGAAGTTTTTGGTTGGTCATATACGTGCTATCCAATATAGATTTACTCTATTGATTTCCTCAGACACATCTCTTCTTACTTAACCTTTCCCATCCGTTTAATGCTCTGTAGTCTGTACAATTGTGTTATTGGGTTAGTTTGTAATCCAATTGCTTGTCGTTGCTGGTATCCTTCCCGAAGACTGGACGATGATATGTAATGACCATATTTCCTCCCTTAGCAGTAGATTCTCTCTTACATTTTAGGTCAGCATGTATACAGACCCATAGTCAGACTCTCTACCTTAAGCCGGATAATTACGAATAGTTCAATGTGCCGTTCCGGACAGCGTTGTATCATTGTATGTTGTTTCTCGGGGTCCCCTAGGTAGTTAATAACTCCAAAGTATCCCTGGCACCAGCAGAACCCATACTGTTGAAATTAATGTAAACCATGCTTATCAAATAGAGGGACCATATCACCTGAGATCAATCTGTGAACAAGACCGAGGGAGAAGAGTACATCCGTGGATGGGAAAGTCAGTAAATACTATGCCTCAATAGCGTCACAGGGTGTTGAGGTCTCTACTGGATTAGTGATTTACGAAGATGAAGTTGGCTATGGCCATTATGCTTTACTCATGCCCTAAAACCTCCCTTTGCATACCTCATAAATGCCGTGTAACAAAGACATTAATGTGTAGTGGCTGAAGTGTAAAGGTATCTAATGATAGCCATATACAGATCATGCTCAGGCACCCAGGCATATTATTCAGGCGATTCCCATTTTGGTAATGGATGCAGGAGCGCACCGCGATTCATCCACCTCATTCGGGGATTGTCTGGGTGCTTGATGTTCAGCGTGTGACAAGCCGCAATATGGTTTTCCCGTTGGTACAGAAGGTTATCAAAAATCTTTTGGTGCCGCCTGAACTGTTCAAGACTTGCCTCAGTGGGGATAATGATCCCAGATTTAACGTCTTGAGAGTTAAGGAGCACCTGCTGTCTTGGGTTCAGCATTTCATTCTCCATTCAGGTGCTCTCAGACTCGGAATATCGTCTTCCACGTCTTCCACGTCTTCCTCGTCTTTCTCATCTTTCTTGTCTTTCTCATCTTTCTCATCTTTCTCATCTTTCTCATCTTTCTCATCTTTCTCATCTTTCTCATCTTTCTCATCATTCTCATCTTCTTCGTCTTGATTGAGTTCCTCATCGCTTGTTGCTGTGCCGTTTTGATCGCCCCTGGCTCTTTTTACCTTTGCTTGTCCGTCTGCAGTCTTCGCCTTTCTCTTTTTAAGATGAACACCTTCCCCTAATCATCTGTTAGGTTGCTTCTAGAAAAGGCTTTTCCGCACTGGACCCAGAGCACATTACCTTGCTGTTTAGTGCCCATGATGGCCGTGCCACCATATGGCTTATCAATGTATGTTGGAGCGTGGATATTACATAGCCACCCCTTCAATGCCCATACGAGCATGTCCATTGTCTGATTGCTGAAGTTTTTTCCGAAGAAGACCCCCTCCCGGGATCGGTGGTTTATGTCCTTGACATTAAAGTGGAACCGCGCGAGATGATCTGCATCATCCCATTCATCCATTTTAGGCTGTGGCTTGCTATATTTCAGCACGCCGTGGGCCTCGCCTGTCAAGATCCGGCTCTGAATCTCGCTGATTCCTTTGCCTCTCCCCTTTGCATTGTTTTTGCTGAGATGCGCCCAAAGCTCTATCCACCATGGCTTAACCATGTCAGATTGCAGCCATTCGATCCATTCATGGTTGTCTTGCAGCTTCAGTGCCTCCTGTAATTCTCTCTTAGTACTTTTGCACTTTCCTTTCTTTCGGGCCCGTGTCTTTATGTTCGGTGTCTGGTATGTCTGAGAAGTCAAAAGAAAATTGTGGTTCGTCATCCATGGTGGATGTTGGAAATGTGTTTCTAACAGATGGGTAGATGAGCAGGGAAGATGTAGACGGGGTATATGCGAAGGGAAGATGCAGATGGGGAAGATGAGCAGGGAAGATGTAGATGGGGTAGATGCGAAGGGAAGATGTAGATGGGGGAGATGCGAAGGGGAAGATGAGGCTGTATATAGAATCATGCTTGATACTTTTAATGAGCAGAGTGAACAGGGTCAAGGTCAGTAAATAGTAAGAATGAACTGAGATAATAGTAAGAGAATAATGATATCTTTATATTATCCTTAACCATAATTTCTCTTACTTTTCTTTCACCTTACCTTTCTTTAGATTATGAATAGACCTACTACCCCGACGGCCCGACCCTACCACCTCAACGTAAGGAGCCATCTCAACGTAAGCCTATTTTCCCATATAAAAACCCAGATTTTAAAGGTAGATATCTCAATACTATAAGCCTGGAGACTTATAAACCTTAGCATACACCCTTAATCCTAGTATCTCTATAATATAGTATAAAGAGACAAAATTCTGTAGTTTCTCCTTAAAGTTAATAGTATCTAGCACTAAAATATATGCATAGAAATAGACTTCTAGTATTATCTTTATTGCTATGAAATTTTAAAGCCTGTGACTTTACTATACTTTTTTATAAAGATTTTTAATTAATTTTATAGCCTCTATTGTGGTTGTATCAGTTAGAAATCTGTATATCTTTAGATTCTTACGTTGAGATGGCTCCTCACGTTGAGGTGGTACGGTCGCCCTAGCGGGTGACTCTGTAACTAGGTGGAAGGGTCGGTTAGATCATGGTTATCTTATAGTATGCTTGGTGGACAGGAACTCGTTTGTTGGCAAGGCTACGTTGCAGCAAGCTACTCATCCCGTCACTATTTTCTGGTTCTCGACAACTTCTGAAATCATCATCGACCGACTTCGTTCGATATCTGCCAGCGGTCGTCTGGACCCGTCTATTACCCCTCCTACAGTGCCCCTCACCAATGATTTCGATGCATAGGAAAGCACGACACAATAAAACCGCACTACTTTCATCGCTCAGATTCTATCTCACTTCAGTGGTGGCAGTCTTGCATCTCTCAGATTTTGGATATGTCCCGACGAGCACGAAACCATGAGTACTACGAGGAGGACCTCTACGAGGAAGAGAGCGATACATATCGACGTCCGCGGCGGTCTCGACGCGAGCGCTTCGCCGAAGACGGTGAATTACAATATGGACGTCGAATGTCCGCCCCGCTTCCCGTGGAAGAGCTGGAGCGCCTACACATACGGGAACGGTCAAAGCCCGACTTTATTCGCGAGAGCTTTGATCCGCCGCGGAACCCTGGCCCGCCGGCTGTGATGCGAGAGCGGGAGGAAAACGAGATGGACACGCCTCCGCGCGAGACATTAAGGGGCTACGAGCGGGACAGGCACGAGCGTCGTGAGCGACCTCGGCGTAGGAGAACCGCTAAGGACGAGGATATTTACTTCCATGAGGGATTGGAAAGACGGAGGTATACAGGGGGCGAATATGACGAGGGAGCAGTTGAGCTGCAGAGAGAAAGGCCGTCGATACCGCGAGGCAATCTGGATAGCGAGGAGGAATTTGTACGCCTACGTCGCGACAAGAGAGGGACGAAAGGCTCGCGGATGAAACACTCAGAACTTGAAATTGAGCGAGATGAGCTTTATCGCCGTGGGCCTGACTCCAGGCGGGAGCATACCAGGCTCCACAGTGATGCTAGAGAGCGTACACCAGCAGCACGCTTACAACCGAGATTTCACCGGCAGCCGGATGGAGACGAAGAGGATGAAGAGGATATCATTATCCGAAGAGATGAGCGGAGGAGGGGTCGAACAGGCAGATTCAAGGAAAAGGAGAAGATTACCATGCGAGAAAGAGAGATCTCGACGTCCCCGGAGTCGCCAAGTTCGAGAGAGCTTTCGCAGGTTCGGAAGTCTCATGTTACATCTCGTGAACGCATGAGCGATGGTGAGTTGTGGCATTTAGGCCTCAAGTCAGATGCTTATTTTCTGTCTGTCGCAGGTTATGAATTGCCTCGTGCACCACGTGCACCCAGTCCAGAGTCTTCTTCTCCGAGTAGCTTCGAGGAGTTGGAGATTCGTCACCGGTAAGCCGATAACCATTCCATTGAAATTTGAATCACATGCTTACGTGTGTATAGTACACGAGGACGCCCAGCAAAAGAGAAGATCATTATAGAACGACGCAATGATGCTTCACCTCCGTCCATCCTTTCATCTTCAGAATCTGACAACAAGAGCGAGAACGAAATCGACATCACTCACGCTAAGTTCAAGACCTCAAAGCGACAAGAGGACGTTTTAATTATGGAACGTCAACCCCAACGCCACGAAAGTGATGAAGAGGTACAAGTCTTCGAGGAGGAACAGTACACCCGGCGTGATGCGGGAGGGCCCCAGCGGCGGAGCACACCCACAGTCACGGTTGAAGATAAAGCGATAATCCGGCTTGACTCAGGAAGCCATGGCAGTGCAGACCAGGAGATGCGACGGGAGCGGCGTGTATCCACACGGCGATCCCGATCCATCAACGGCCACGGAAGACTGTCTGACGAGAACATCGACCGCAAACATGGTCGAATCGGACGGCGATACATCGGCGTAAAAGACAAACGAGATCGTCTCTGGACAGAAATCACCAAGGACCTGGTGGTCAAGGAGGCCATTGAGCGGGCTGGCTATGAATACGAGGAAACGGACTCGTTCTATTACATATTCTCGTATCTTGAATACGTGAGCCTAGGCCCTCTTGTTCAAGCCCACACTTCCTTTTTCTAAATTTCGTGGCTGCCTCTGGCCCAGCTGACAGCTCTCCACAATCATAGGACGATATATCAGCCCTTGTCGCACTATCGGAGGACATCCGCCGTGCACGACGCCAACGAATTCAGGAGATCAGTAGGGAGCGAGTCTCGATGCGTATTCCATTCGCACCTGAACCAGTCACACCCGCTCCCGTGTTACTGGGGAGGCCGCCGTCTCCACGTCTCCGACCTCGGGATGAGCGGAGACTGAAGAAAGAGCGGGAGCTCATTATCGAAGAAGGACGATGGAGACCAGCCCCAGCTCCGTTGGACAGATGGTGACGGAGCAAGTTCGCTTCACCGTTGAGAGTGATTGGAGTGTGGCTTGGTCAAACGGTCGGCCCGACGTTTTCAACCCTCTTATGGTTCTGAGCCTGAAATAGAAACCGACGACAGATACCCAGTTTTCTTTCTTTCTTCCTGTTTGTCAGCTACCTCTTTATCATTTTCCGGGTGCTCTTATGGCCATTAGGAGACGCATATTCGTCTGTCAGGTCAGCGAATGCATGCCCCTGGTCTATCTAGTACTCTGAAGCAATCTTAGGAAGCTCAAGGCACGCCCAGCTCGTATCAAGTACCTGTCAAATGATGTTCGAGGAATTGATGGATATTCTCAATCAACTACCTTATCCACAACTGACCATCCCCTTCATGAATTATTTATATGGCAGATGACGTGGATCTACGGAGTACCGCTAGTGCCATTCGATATGTTCCAAACATGCAGCCCAAGGCACCGAATGACCGATCAACTGTCTCAGAATCTGTGGATACTGCATTAGCAGGGCAGGATCCATACTCCGTCCTTCCTTTCATGTATGGTAAATGATCCTCCTCGACGCATGTAACCAAACATGGCGTGCGTATTTTGTACTATGCATCTAGCGAGCGATAGTTAGACTTACGGAGTACGACAAAAGTGTGGCAAAGGAGACAAAATCCTCTTCCATTCACATATTATTAGGTAGTTCAGGTACCTTGAATAGCTAGAGGTGTTGATAAGTCATGCAACCGATATTTTGGCGCCTGTTGTCTAAGGCCTGCAGCGGCAAGGGATGAAAGATACTGTCTGTAGATCGTGCGACAGCCAAACACAGGGATTCCAAGCGGAATAGCTTACTCATAGTCCACCACTTCGATGTACAATTCCACTCCATAACAACTCCAAATTTAGGAGCAGACGCGGAATCCAATTACCATGACATAAAAGGAGGTGGGGGAAAGGACGCCACAGAAGTCAAAGATTGAGTTTCCACAATGGAAGTAATATCGGCGGAACGGGAATGGCTGCACCGGCACAAATCATTAAGTTAACTAGTGGTCAAGTGTCAACTACAGGTGCTATTTTAGTTCTGCCTCGTTCTGCTAGCTTCGGCTTGTTGTTGTTCTGCGTTTGATGCGGTTTGACTCCGGTTGGAATCTCTGTATAACCTCCTAGGATGAAAAAGAAAAAGAAAAAGATATAAAGAAATGAACCACTCCCATTTCTGCCAGTTTACCTGTCTTTTTCGAGGAAATTGATGGAGCAGAGAGAACTTCTGTATATAGGTAGCCAGTGCTGGAAAAAGTCTAGATAGTGCCTGGACTGTATGGAGTAAGGGATCGGCAATGGCCAATCGGCGAATCGAGGAGCATTCAGAATTCCACTTTTCATTCCTTCAGCCACAATCAAAAGAAATGAAGGATGGAAGATCGACTGGTTATTTGAAGGCTAGTGGGAGTGGTGAAAATTACCAAGGTCAATATTTGTGTACTTAATTTAAGGTAACATTACAGGTCCTGTTGTAGGTAAGGTTTTCAGAGAAGATTCTCAACAGTTCTGTATACTGACAAAAGCCACATGATCGTCAACTTCAGGTCGTGTACAAAGCCATATGCCTTGTCAAACCCCCAAGTCGGACCAGATACGTAGAACAAGCTCAGGAGGGTTTCCACTGGTGATGGCCAAGTTGGCAGATGCCTTCTCCGCGGTATTCCTG